AGTAGGTAACAGTATACTCATAAGTAGGTAACAGTCTAACGTAAGTAGATAACACTATATATATAGTGTTATCTACTTCACTTCCCACTACACTTCCTTCACCTTCAATTTCTTCCTCCTCAACTGTCATATTCGTAGTCATCTGGGGTATCGTCAGGGACTGACTCCTCTCTAGGGCTGTCGTATTGTTCTGAACTAGAGTACAAGTCCTCTGCCCATCGCATTGGTCGTCCTGGTCTTCCTCTTCTGGCAACTCTATCTCCTCTGCGCATCCTATTCCTACTAGCCGGTCTATGTCTGCTTTCAATTCTTCTTCTGTTGGTATTAATCCGTCGTATTCCATCAGTAATGGATCTGACTCCACTACCACTGGTGCTTCCGCTGTTGTTATCATTGTCACTGCTGGAACTACTACTACTACCACTGGGTTCACTACTGGCTCTTGGCTCGCACGGCGATGCCTCAAGTAAGTAGGTATCTGTGTTGATACTGTCTCTGTATGCTGGGTTGGTTCGGACGATGGACACAAATTCGAGGCCCATGATCCATCTTGCAAACTCCCAAGTCTCTCCTCGGCATCTGACTGGGTAGTTAAAGCTGTCATAGTTTCTTCTCCAGACAGATTGGAGTTCCACCAAGCTATATTGGGCAACCACTCCCCCTCGACGGTAGTTGTATATGGTGTACACCCCATACTCAGTGCACACCCCATGTCTAAAGTTGTCTCTGTCAAGGAAGGGAATAAATGGTATAAGTTCATGTCTAGGTAAGCTTGGTCTTGTGGCATAGTACTCCATGTTTGCACTAATGCTTTGTCCGACCCACTCCTTGAAGTGTCGACTCTTCCAATGGTCGACCTGTTTCTGATAGAGGACACACTCAACCCTCTTGTTGTCCCTTCGTTCGACAATGTAGTAGTAATCGGAATAGTATATCTGGTGATTGTATTCAGCGGTGAAGAAGAGGGAAAAGAGTCTTCCCAACTCCTCATGATGTCTGAAGTCGATGCAGGTACCATCGAAATTGAATAAGCTTCTGTCGTCATCCCAGGCTGTAGGGAATTGCTCATTTCTGATCTGTTGTTCGGCGATGAAGAGGTCGATGTTGTCTTGGACGGCGTATGGGATTGCTGCTGCATAGTTAATCATTTTGATGTTGATGTTGGTAACTGATTGACTGATTGGTATAAAAGTTAAAGTATTAATCAAAGGTTTGTGTTTTGTTGATTCGATATTGTCTAGTACACTTGTCCTTGCAACTAAACTCGGGTGAAGTATGGATAATTGGTTAAGGACACACTCTGCTTATATAGCTTCAGGCGTCCCTTCAGCTACTCCGCAGGTGATTAATATTACTGGCTGCAGAACGGAGTGATTTGTAATGTTATCGCGTTCAGGCGTTCATACGTCCCCATCTACTATTAGGTTTTACCTTTACCGGAAAGCACTAATCCAATAGCTCTGTGTCAAACGATGACAATCCAATTATCCCCAAGATCATTGTAAATCGTCTTGATCCTGTCTTCCAAAAACTAAACCTTCTGTTATCATGCGGATGCCCTTTCTTCCTAAATTAGGGTGTCATATGGTGTTTGCTTTCTAATTACCCCAATCTATTCTCTAAATTTTAAAGCACATGGGATTGTTCTTCATCTATTTTGGTTGTTTCATCAAATGGTCATTACTAACTTAGGTTGTCTTGGCATCATGCTCCTCTTTTGTGAAACTTCTAATTTGTCCTCGTGATAGTGTCTGAAATTTCTGTTAGTGAAATTTCACTAACCGTACCACTGAGGGAATTTCAAATGTTAGTAGCACAAACATTATAAATAAACTTGTGCGAGGGTTGCTCATGCCCTCCTACTGCTATTGGCTCATTAATAATATATATGCGCTATTTATGCTACTAGTGATAAAAATATAACAAAAATAATCTGATAATCATGATAACTTGATCTCTACTAACTCTTCTCCTCTACTGAGTATGACTTACTACTCAAAATAACTCTGAGCTCAGCTCCAATGTTATTGCTAAGGTAAATAACACTTCTTAGTCTAGAGGATGGCTCATCTCTCCTATTATCACTCAAGCCTTATTTCTATCCTTGTATGGAACTATTCTTCTCCTATTTACTCTACCATGTAACACTCCTCCCATTGTTTCTAATACAAACGTCTTCTTTCCTCCTATCTCTCTAATTCTGAATGGTCCTTCTCCGGCTTGTTCTAACTTTCTCTTATGTGCAGGGGCATATAACATTACTAGATCACCGACTTGAAGTGGAGTGGCTAATTCCGGTCCGGCTTTCTCTTTTACTCGCTGTTGTTTCTGTTCGATCAGTGCTGCTGCTTTTATCCGCTCGTGGTGTAAGTCTTCGATTTGCTTCTCTCTGTCCACAGGTTCGTCCAATATTTCGTCTAGGGGTATCGGGTATTTTCCTTCAATGGGTATTCGCATTCTATATCCAAAGAGTAGGCTTGCAGGGGTATGTTCGGTAGTGACTTGTACTGTGGATCGATATGCCATCAGTACACTGGGAAGAAGATCTATCCATCTACTTTTCTTCACTCCTAACTGCTTTCTTATCATTCTTATTAGAGTCTGATTGAATCGCTCTACCTGGCCATTTGCTTGTGGATTCGCTGCTGTTGTTGGTGTATGATTAATTCCCCAGGTTTTAACAGTCCATTTCCAATGTTTGCTGGTGAAGGCTGTACCCTTATCAGAGATGATTTGTTCCGGTATGCCGTAGACTGTTACTATGTTCTCCCAAAGGAATTTAAGGGCTTCGTCGGTATTTGTTGTCTTTGTTGGTTGAGCGATAGGCCATTTGGTAAAGTAATCCTGAGCAACTATAAGATACTGATATCCATCCTTGGTCTGATGTAGCGGTCCTACATGATCTATGCCTACTATTTGAAAAGGTCTAGTGGCAATCATTGGATAGATATCTTTCACCTTCGCTGGTTTCTTCTCTCTCTGGCAGGCATCGCAGGTGGAAATAAACTGCTGAACTTCATTGTATATGCCTGGCCACCAATATCTTTCTTTTATCTTCTTTTCAGTCGCCTTCTGACCTAAATGTCCTGCTGCAAGTCCTTCATGTACTGCTCGGATAATCTCTTCATTTTGGGGCTTAGTAATTATTCGCTTCCATTCATCATTGATCTTCTTAAAAGCTCCGTTCCTTGTAAACTTATAATCTCTGTTTGCTGCTTCACTTAACCGTAGTGCTTCGAGTTGGGCTGGGTCCATGGTTTCTCCTTAGACTTCCTCTGATTCGAAACAAGGGTCTCAGGAGAGAGCATTGGCGATCTGGTTTTCCCTACCAGCCCGGTGTCTCATTTCATAAGTATATTCTGACAATTTCATGGCCCATCTTCCCACTCTTCCACGTGGTTCTGAAGTCTTGTACAGAGAGGTTAACGCTGCATGATCTGTGAATAAAAGGAACTCTCTACCTCTTAAGAATCTCTGGAACTTTTCCACTGCCCATTTTACTGCTAGTCCTTCTCGATGTGTTGTATTATAGTTTCTTTCTGCTGGACTTAGCGCTCTTGATGCGTATGATACTACCCAATCTCTCTTGTCTTCTGGATTATACTGTGATAACATTGCTCCTATACCCGTATCTGAAGCATCTGTCATTAGCATGAACTTATGCAGCTTGTTGGGAAACGCCAGCACCAGCGTGGTTGCTAACGCATCCTTTAATGCTTGCATAGCTCTTGCTTGATCCTTCCCCCAAATGAACGGTTGCTTCTTCCTTAGTAATAACTGTAGTGGTCTAGCGAGTTCTTGGTATCCATTGACGAACTGAGCATAATAGCCAGTCATGCCCAGGAATCGTCGTACCTGTGTTACGTCTGTTAATTCCCCATATTCTGTGATTGCTTCGATTTTGCGTTCATCTACCGTTAAGCCGTCTGTTCCCACAACATGACCTAAAAATTCTAATCTTTCGCATGCAAATTTACACTTCTTCTTCTTCAACTTTAATCCATACTTCCTACACTTCGCAAAAGTCATCTCCAGATGTTCCATATGCTCTTCAAAACTTGCCAAATAGATGTTCACATCGTCGATAAATACTGCCAGATGCTTGCCAATTTGCTCGTGGAATACTAGGTCCATCATTGCTTGGAATGATGCTGGCGCATTCTTGAGGCCAAATGGTAATCGCTTGAAGTAATATAGTCCCAACTTGCAAGTAAATGTCGTCTTCTTCATGTCATCTGGATGCATTGGAACTTGCCAATAGCCACTAGCCAGATCTAAAGCCGTAAAGAACTTAGGCTGTACTCCTGACTTGGCTATGTTAGAAAAGATCTCGTCGATGATGGGTAATGGATAAGGGTTAGTGTAGGTTATTGCATTCAGCTTTCTATAGTCAACACAAAACCTCTTACTACCATCCTTTTTGCCTACGATTACCACTGGAGAGGCGTACTGTATCATTCGGATATTAGGTTCGGTGTCAATATCTAGTTTCTCAATAATTCCGGCCTTCAACATTCTTTCCACTTCAGCTTCGATGAACTCGTCGTTCTCCCAGCACTGCTTGTATGGCTTGGAAAATGTCGTCTTGTCTGGCATTGTTTCGATGCGATGTTGGATTACTGTGGACTGTCCTAACTCTATCAACTCGTCGGCAAAGATGTCCTGATAATTTGTGAGTATTGTATCTAATTGTGCTTCTTGATCAGGGGTGAGATTCTTTTCGTATGGTGATGGTTTGGATTCGACCTTCTGTCCTACTGCTACTAACTCAGATGGTAATGATGTATCTGGAAGAAGGATTAATTGTGCTATAGGATCGCCTATCCGGACATTGACTTCACCTAGAGAGATTACTGGAACTCTAATCCTTCTGCTAGTGCCAACAATCATTGGCTGGACCATATAGGCGATAGGTTTCTCGGGCTGACAGAATAAAGCCACTGTTCCTTGAGGTAACTTAATTTGGATTCCTGTCGATAGCCTTGCAACTCCTTGCACTTTTGCATCTTCGTTTGAATAGAGAATGTATCCTTTAGAGGTGCGCTTAGGATACTTAGCCTTTGGTGTCCATTTGATAGCTGTTATACCCCACTTAGTCCTAGGTGGCTTCGGGTATGCTGCCTTAACCTTCTGGATTGGGTGGAATCGCTCCTTTGGCTTTATCTTCTTTTCTTCTTCTAATTGCTTCAAAGTTTCCACTGGTAGGGTTGCTATAGCTCGACAAGTTTGCACCATCCATGTGCAATGGCTACAAGTATCCGTTGGCTCATCTAGGTTCTGTCTGCACCAACACCTAGTATCAGGTCCCTTATAATGGTATTCTCTCTGGTGTGGTTCTGGACGTCTTGTCATAATCTGCTGAATCTTCTGAAGTTCCTTCCATTCTACTACATCATTACCTAATTGTATTTCGCTGTCGCGGATTTGACAGGAAATTTGTCGCTTCTTCTGGGGTTGTAAGACATATGGTACTTCTAGGTCGAATTGTTCTTGCATTCGGACATCCTTTTCTTCCTGGAGTTTTCTGAGTTTCTCTTGCATCGCTTTTCTTTGCTCTGGGGTTTCTACAAACACTCCTTTCCATTGAACTGTTCTTTGGTCATAATACTGATCTCGCTGTCTTTCTTTTGCAGGCCGGTCTTCTGGATGATACTTAGTCCAATTGCCTCCTACTTCTCCTATGGCAATTTTCCCTTTTACTACTTGTCCATTGGGCTTAAGGGTGGCTCCCTTGACATAGAGGTTGTATATTAGGTCAACATCCTCTCTGTCGCCAGTATTATTGCTGTAGGATTTCCAATTGTTTCTGTGAGCATCCGCCTTCTCGTTCTGAAATTCTAATTTTACTCGTTCGAAGTCTTCTTTTTCTCTAAGCTTCAATTTACATTTAGAGCATGGCTGAACATCTTCTTCTGGAGCATAACCTCTTATGCATTTGTAGTAGGTTGGTCCTTTTTCGCACTTCCACTCTTCGTCTATTTGCATGGGATCTCCTTCTGGTTGGTCTATTTCCATTGGTATGGTCACATTCACTTGTCGTATTGGGAACCGGGCTTCATGGAGTAATGATACATATGCATACTGATTGGTCTTCTCATTCTCTAGGCCCATAGTTTCGCCTTTATAGTCAATCACTGCATTATACTGGATTAGAAAGTTAGTACCGATTATTATGTCTGATGGTGCTCCGGGTACTATTCCTGCATTTAGCTTCCAAATTCCGTATCTTCTGTTTGCAAATTCTAATGGGATGTCTTCTACTTCTGCCAATGGTTTTGTTCGATGCCCTGTTACTCCTTGTATCTCAAATCTCACATCCATTGTTAGTCTAATCTTCGCCTTGACCTTCTCTTTAATTCTTTCGAAGAATGTTGGAGAAATAATGGTTACAGATGATCCGGTGTCGACCAGAACTCTGCACTCTTCCTCCTCCACAAAGGCAATACAATATGTAGGTCCGAGAACGTCGGTATCCCCATACTGCAAAGCACCTTGTGAGGGTCTTATGTCTATGCCGCCGTCATTGCCCTCTATTGACGGGGCTGACCTTTTCCCTGCATGCCTTGGTTTTGCTTGTTGACATGCCACTCCTGCTCTCTGCCCTGATTTCGATGGAAATTTAACTGTCTGCACTCCGCTGCTCGATGTCCCATCTTGCCACAATAATAGCACTGGAAGTTAGTCATTTGCTGCCGCTGTCGGGGTTGATAACGATTGTTTCGAGGCTGATTATTGTTATACTGAGGGCGTTCATTCCCCGTATTCCCTTGGTTGCTGTTGTTCTTGTTCTTAGTTTCTGCTACCAATTCTTGCATTGTTGCCATCAATGCCTGTAGTGCCGTGTCTGTTGCCGTATGGGATGGCTGGACATTTGTTTGAAATGCGTTGTAGCACTGTGTTGCTACTTTAACTGCATCAGCAATGGTATTCGGGGCTTGCTGCATTACTGGCTCTCTTATTGCTGGAATTAAACCATGTACGAACTTGTTTACCTTCATCCACTCTGGTATAACTCCGTCTCCGCACTCCATCCATTGCTCTTGCAATGCGTTGTAATATTGGCCAACAGTTTCTCCTAGTCTTTGAGTTCTCATAAAAGCTGACTGAGAGGCTTGCGCTCTATTATCATCATTCGCGTATTTTTCTAAAAACAATTCCTTAAACCCATCTACATGGTTTGCTACTGTCCATGTGGTTGGTTTTGCTTGCAACATGATATACCACATCTTAGCAGGGCCAGAGTTTAGGACTGCCAACCCTATTCTTCGCTCGTTAGCGTTGGCTTGGATATTGTTTGCAGTAAAGGCTATCTCCATTTCACCTAGCCATTTACGTGGGTTCGTTCCATCAAAGACTGGATATGTGGCTTGAGACATTTCTTCTTCGTCATCTGCTTGAACTGGTGGTGCTGGGGGTATAGGTGGATTTGCCGGCGGAGCAGGTGGATTTGGAACTGGTGGAGCTACTGGGGGTAAATTTAACAGTGGATTCTGGTTATCTTGTTCGGGAGTTGGGGCTCTAGTTGATGGCTGCAATGCTTCAGCATTGTCTGCTTGGTTTTCTTGGTCACTTCCTTGATTGTCTTGATTATCAGCTACTTCATCTCTCGCTTGTTCGTTAGCACCTTTTGGTCCTTGGTCTGGTACTTGATTTTCTGGTTCAACCTCTTCGTCTTCGACTGGGTTGTATAGTGGTGCAATATAATCTAATAATGCACCTGTATTTGGAAGGGTCTGATCAGGAGTTTTGTTAGTATCAAGATCTACTTCTTTTTCAAGGGCTTGTAAATCCTTGTATACTAAAAGAGCGCGTTGTTGTAATGATTCGAGGACAGATAACTTGCTTGCTCTTTCTTCTGCATTGGCTGCACCTAATGGTCCGAACTCTGGTTCTGGAGTATGGTATTCGTCGTCGGATGCCTTGCTACTAGTAGTGCTGGTTGATACTTGTGCCTTTTCTTTTCCTTTTTTACTTGCTGCTCTGTCTACCTTCTCTTGTAAATAAGCAACTACTTCCCGTTGTAACTGAGCTGCTCTTTCGTCAGATAGTGATGTGTCGACGTTAAAATCAAGTAGCTTAAGTGATCCTTGCGGAGACGTTAAGGCGATTATCAGTGAGTTTACTGCTCTTGGAGGATTAGGAAATACCGTTGCTCTGATTAGCTTGATTGCCGGTGCAAATTTTCTTTCCGCTACTTGCCACTTGACAAATCTCTCGTGCGTAATCCTTGATACGCGTCCGTTGTATCTTTTTAGAATGTCAAGATATCTTCTGTACACAGGGCCTATTTCGTTCGGATCAGGATAACAGGTTATACACGCGTCGGAACGGAATTTGTTTAAAGCGTTTTCTCGGAACGGATGAGTCCTTGGAATATGGCGGTGTATGTAAAGATGCTGGTAAAATACTTCCCGGTGGACGTATAATTCTTGCTGAATTTCTTGAGCTCTTGTTGTTTTTGCCAGGGTTTCTGAGTTTCGTCTGTAGGTTCTGTATTCGAATAATTCACTGTGTGGATACTTTTCCACGGAATCCCCACCAACTGTCGTGCCAACTACTGCGGGAGAGCAGAAAGTAATCGACACTTGGGATTTAACTAGTCTCGATGGAGCGTGGCGCCTCCTATTCAAGTTAAATATCTAATTTCACAGTTAGTGACCTTGTAATTGCAAGGCTTTGCACTTACGGGCTTTT